CAGACTGAGGTTCAAGACTGAGTCATGGGGTTCTGAAGGCCTGGGTGAGGTGAGGTTGTGCAGGACAGAAACACATGTGGAGTGAGGTTTTCTGAATCAAGGAGGGGCATTGACAGTGAACTCAGGAGTCTGAAGAGTCTCATTGTGATTGTTGAGGAAATTAAAAAGGAGCATCCTCCATCTTCATCACAGATGTCCCTACCTGCACAGTAGGGGCCACTGCACCAAGACCACCAGGGCCCACTTTTAGAACAGGTAGATTCATTGAGGAATTGCAATTAGAATCATACAAGAATAGCCAGATGATTCAGAAAAAGAAACTGGGTGGGGTAGGGGGGAAGGTGAGGAGTAGTGCAGGTAAAAATCATTTGTACCTCACATGCCAAATGACTTATTTTTATAGAACTCTTACAAATAAGAAAAAAAAAATCAAGCCAATAAAGAAACAGACAAAGGGCATAAACAGGCAATTAATTGAAAGCAAATGAAAATGGCCAACAGACACATAAAAAAGATGTATAATCTTAATCATAATGAAAAATAAGGATTAAGACAAACAATGTAATTCTAGTTTTCTTATCAGGCTGACAATACCAAAACACTTGACATTCACAGAGCACGGCAGAGAGGTGGGGAAACAGCCATGCTCACATGCAAATCAACAGTTATAACCTCTTTGTGAGGCAATTTTTCTCACATCTATTAAAAATGTATAAGTTAGAAATTTTCAGACCTAAGATGCCATATGTAAACAGCCATTAAAAAGAATGTGGTATCTCTGTATAATTAATATGGAAGGATTTTACACATGTGCAAATAAATTATATTATATATTTTATGTAAGGAAAAATATATAGCACATATAAAATGTATATAGTGAGGTCATATTATGCCTTTAGAGCTATGTGAATTTTTAGCACTTACATATATTTGCATATATTACTTGCATCTTTTTTTTAACAGTTTGATTCTTAAAACTTGCAATTTCCATTTGGGCTCATTTGATATTTATGACTTGCCAGGCTGACCAGTGGTTTATAAACAATAGAAAGGAGGGGTGCAGAATGAAATACTGGCTTGTGTAAGTCTGAAAAGAGCCTATAGTTTTCTATTCTTGAGTCTTTGACACTGAAGAAGTGTTGGAGAAGATGAGTAAAGGCCTGGTGACACCCATGTTTCTGTAATGGAAAGTGACTCTCAGGTGTACATGACAGAGTTCCCTTCACCCTCCTGGGCTGCTCGTGGTTCCCATGAGTTGCGTCTGGGATCTGTAAATGCTGGAAATGTGTTCCCCTACACTCCCACCTACACCTGTCTCAGGTGTGTTCTACGGATTAGTATCCCCCACGTGGTTTTGTTTTGTAGAAGTGTTATTCTGCAAAAACAATTTTGATTATGTGGCCTGGACCAGGAAGGGATAGTGTGCTCTAAAGGTGACAGAGTTGGCACAAAACCACATCAGACACTTTGTTATCAAATGTGGAGATGATGGAGGAGCCCTTGGTGCATGTGTTGGGAAGTGGGCGCCCTCCTCCAGGCTCCTCAGGAGGACACTGCAGGATGGGAGGAGGATGGAGACCCCCCCCCCACATAGCTTGAGAGTGGCTTGAAGGTGGCTCTGTCACGCATGCAGGGTGCAGTAGCACCTTCAAGCCCAGGCTGGCCTTGGAGAGGCTGGTATCACAGGCTGCTTCTCCTCAGTTGTCTCTGGCGCCAGCTCAGCACAATGGGCCCCTGAACTTCCTGCCACCCCCAGGAGCCCTGGGTTCCCCACAGACAGAGCTGTGCTATTAGACGACCTGTGGATTGAGGCATCAGCAGCCAGGAGCATCTCTGAAATGGGCCACCCTCTGGAACCCTTCTTTGGCTGAATTGTTTCAGGATGGGTGTCATTTAATCAATCTGCCCTAATGTCAGGAAGTAGAGATGAGGATTGCAGCCTGCTCAATTTCTTTCTTTTCAGTAACCAAGGACTTCGGCTTATTGAATGCGTCCTGTGTGCCAGGACCTGGGTGAGGTTCTGGGGATTCAAGGATGAGGAAGACACCAGCTATAACTGCCCTTGGGAAGCTCCAAGTCTAGCAGGGAAAGGGAAAATCAGCAGGAAGCCCCATAACAAATAGGAATGTAAGATCTGTGATCAGGAAACATGGATACGGAGAGAACACACAGAAAGGCCACCTATCCCAGATGGAGGAAGACTTACTTGTGCACCCACCTGGAGGAGCGGACGCCTGAGCCGGCCTGGAAGCTCAAGAGCCAGGTTGATCAAAGAGCCCAAAAATCTCACCCTCTACAGTCCAGGGAAAGGCTGGGTGTGACTGGGGTTGCCATGAAAGATTGTGCAGGCACCTGGCCAGGAAAGTGAGCGGAGGCTGAACTTTCAAGAGGCCCATGTGGGTCAGCTACTGTCCTTGTGTGACAGCAGGCACCTGGGTACCTCCTGAACCTCCTTCCTCCCTATTGTCTGAGCTCTTCCTTTCTTTGAGCTCTCTGCATCTACCATCTTCTTTCTTTCCACCTACTTCCTCTAGGCTGTCTGAAGATAATTACATTCTTTTTCCTTTTTCCCGTGGCATATTTCTATCTCTCTCAGACACACAGACACAGACACACACACACAGACAGACAGACACACACACACACAGACACACACACACACACACACACACACACACACACATTCTTCTATCTCTGCCTATCCACCAACTCAATTTCTGAGATACAACTGCTGAAAGTAAGAATAAGGAACATTAAGTTAATATTGTGGCTGTTGACAGTGAAACAGTTAAGGTGGGAAAGAACCAGAAGCAGATGGGAAATAGAGAATTCCTCACTGGGTAAGTGTGGAAAGAAAGACACTGGAGACAAACAAAGGCAAGAGGACCAGGCAAGGAAAGCCCCAGGCCCCGCTAACATGTTATTATAAGCCCACTTCCTGCCCAGAGAATCTAGAATGTTTCCCACATATGTGGCTGGAACCCAATCAGCTTCTGCCCTGACCCTAACTCTGCCACCTGGTTCAGAATTTCTGAGCTCCTCTTATCTGTGACCGAAGTCCCAGGCTTACCGAGAGATGAGCTTCCAACAAGAGTTTGATGCCAATTTGCTACTCCTGCTCCTCAACCCTCAAATCAGGACAACTAGCAAACGCCTTCCAGCCCCTTAAGGAGTCCTGGGGCTCCTGAGCAGGGACCAAGTGGGCCTGCCAAGCCCAATTCTCGGAACAGGACCCATGGCTCTCCCAGATGACACCTCCCACCTTCTCTCCAAGTGACTCATGACAGGCTTGTTCCCTCCACTTCCATCAGCCTAAACAACAGTTTGCTAATAATAAAATCACAAGGGAATAAGCAATTGCAAAAGTCAGACCCTGTGCACAGATGGTCTCAATCAGTCCTTACAGTATTCCTATATGGTAAGGATCATTTCCAACTACAGGTAAGAAAGCCACTTTCTCAAGGTCACATAGCTACTAAGAAACAGAGCCAGGATTCCAGTCCGGGATAGCATGACCCAGACAGAACCTATTCCTCATCAGCTCAACCCATTGCCTCCTCTAAGCAGCAATGCAGCAACATTTACTAGGCGTCTGCTGTATATAGAGCACAGCACTAAGTAAGCTAAAAGAGACAGAGGCCTCAAATCTTCACCTTTTAAGAAAAAAATAATGGAGGTAGGAGAAAGCACATCTCAGCAGCACCTTTGAAAAAAAACCACCCATGAGTGCAAGCACAGCATACAGTCACCCAGATGGAACTTTGGAGCAGGGAGGGGTGCTGAGCAGAAAAAGGACAAGTGCAAGGGAGACAGGAATACAGAAACCCCCATGGAAGATGCAAAGAACAGAAATTAGTCCAGAGGTGATGTGAGCAACTCCAGGCAGAAGCAGTGACATGTTCTAGAGCCAGGGAATGAGAATTAAATGTCTGACGGAGAAGACAGAAAAGCAGCCTGCTATTGGGAGCCAGGGGGAGGGGATTTTTCTAAGGATGAGGTCACCACCAGAGTGAGGAGGAGTCTTCTGAGAACCTCACTGCCACCCAAGGTGGAGCAGGTTAATTTGCTGTGTTAGGCAAGGGGTGGGGATGTGGGCAGTGGGCCAGTTCTTTACCAGGAGAAAGCTAAAATGCAAATTGGCATCTGAGGGAAGCTATTCTAAGGGACATCTGAGGTTAGCAGGACTAGTTTCCATCACCCAGCTGGGATGATGAACCACTTGAGTGTTTATATTCTGGAGTTTATATTCCAGAGGTTACTGGAATATAAAAGACATCGAACAATCTCAATGGCAAAATCATTATTAGTTTGGAAAACCTGAACTTTAAAATTAAATATATCTTGGAATGGTGGATATTTATGGGATGAAAACTAATATTTTAGAATTAACCAAATTTCATTTTCTTTTTTTCTTTTTCCTTTTTTTTTTTTTTTTTTTTTTTGAGACGGAGTTTCGCTCTTGTTACCCAGGCTGGAATGCAATGGTGCGATCTTGGCTCACGGCAACCTCCTGCCTCAGCCTCCTGAGTAGCTGGGATTGCAGGCACACGCCACCATGCCCAGCTAATTTTTTGTATTTTTAGTAGAGACGAGGTTCCATCATGTTGGCCAGATGGTCTCTATCTCTTGACCTTGTGATCCACCCGCCTCGGCCTCCCAAAGTGCTGGGATTACAGGCGTGAGCCACCGCGCCCGGCAGAAATTTTATTTTCTTACAGTTGGTCCTGGCTTGTGCAAGGTGAAAAGATTTTTTATGTGGATTTTAGAAAAATGAGTCAGATAACCAGGGAAAGTTCAGGTTTTATGACCTGAGAAAATGTTCTGTTTACCATCATTCCGATTATGATAAGAGGGTTATTTTCCCTACTCTTTTAAATGCACCTCAGAAGAAGCGAGAAGTTTTTAGGGGATCTTCCAAAAGTTGATATTTCCATAAGTAGTTGGAGAAATATGATCATGGACTGAAATAACTTCCTCCCAAGGTCTGAGCCCTGGCTTACCTGGACTTCCAACGCTGAGCCACAAAAGGAGGCCCCCGATCCAAAAGCAGCTCTTCCAGGGACCTAGGGGCATCGCTGAGCTGGAGATCTCAGAGCTGGTATGGAGTAATTCCCTAAAGCCAAAGAGATCACATAACCCAGCCTCTCAGGAAACACCCACGTGGGTTTCACTAATCATTAACTAGCTTCATGACCTGAAAAGGAAAAATAAATTCTTCCTATTTATTTAAATGTCAGAGTTTTCAGTTTCTTCTTCTCAATGAAAATAAACACGCTTTTTTCTTTAACCAGAACACATTGAAACACACTGTCCTTCCTCTTTGAGCTGAACGCGATCAGGAAAGTATTTCCTGCACCTCTCCCACTTCCCAAGATAGGATGTCAGTAACAACCAAGGCAGAAGTCCCTTATCTCTGGGTGGCCAGAAACCCTTCATTGTGTTGTAATTATCTGTGGACATGTGTGTCTCCCTAGAAGATTCTGAGTGACTTGAGAGCAAAGGCTTTCTCTTTTCATTTTTGAATCCCCAGTGCCTAGCACAGGACTGAGATAATAATATAAAGTGTCCATTTCATGGACAGAAGGGAAGAAGATGAAGTTTGCCTCTGGAGAGTACTATCCGTTTGTAGAATCTTGGGGCTAGAAGTCAAGTCCAACTTTGGGAGATGTTCGACTTCCTGAATTCACAAAGAAACTGCGTGTTAGAAAAAGAAAATGACCTATAGAGATCCTGTCAGTGGAAGTGGCAGAGCCAGGCCTGGAACCAGGGTGGTTCCAGCACCATGTGGCCTCTCTACCTGAAGGAGTGGCAGAAACCACACAGAGCTATTTCTAGGCTCTGTGGGCGGGGGACAGGGGCAGAGGGCAGGGCCTTTGCCTGCCATTCCCTAAATCATAACACATTGTTGTGAGGCAGACAGCCCACCCACGGGGCCAGGATCATCTTTTCCGAACAGTAACTCTCCGAGGTGAGTATTATCACAGAGAAGTTAAATAATTTGTACTTAAGTATTATGAAGTATTAAGTACAAATTACTTAACTGTGATAATTTATAATAAGCACAGATACATTTAATAAGCACAGATAAGTACAAATTACTTCTCTGTGATAGCAGTTAAGTAGGCAGCTGATAAGGCAAAGAGAAGTTAAGTAATTTGCCTGAGGTCATAAAGAGCTGGGATTTAAAGCAGGATGAGCCAGCCCCAGAATCAATGCTCTGAACAATACTCTACAGCAACAACTCCTGAGAGGCACTGGGACCATGGATGGCATCGTGGCTGAACGTAGGATACAATTATTGTGGAGGGGCTAGCCCTTACTTCCCCTTGTGCGCATTATCTCATTCACAAGTGCTGCTTCAATCAGGAAGGAGTGTGGCAATAAGGGTATAGCAGAGGTCACTACTGAAGGCCGTCTTGATGTTAGAGACCAAGCCAAGCATATGAGTTCAGGTCCTTGGAGGAGAAGATACCAATATAAGACAAAATGTGCCAGAGATTTATTGAGCTAACACCTGTACAGAATAAGGAGTACTGGAGAAGGCAGGAAGAGCCTTTAGATTGTGGTGCACATCTGACACCTGTGAAAAAGAACAGGCAGGAAAAGGAGGATTACACAGAAAGAGTCTTGGGCTGCAGCACAGTTTCTAGAATATTCTGATCAGGCCAATGGGAACTCCTCAAGCAAAAGTCTTTTGCGACAGCAGATCTGCGTTTTGAAGAAATGAGTCTGCATTAGCAGCCACATCCTGCTCAGTCATTAGCTGGGGTCAGCTTCAGCACAAAGACAGAGGTAAATTCAGAAGGCAGCAGCTGGAGCCATCAATCAATCATGTTCCCTGCAGCAGGAGACCTGAGGGCTGTTTTCCTGGCCACCCACACAGAGGCCAGAGATAGTTAATCCAGGGTGCCCTTATGCACGGCATGAACACAGCTGTCATTGAGAGACTGCTTTCCCTTTCTTTCACATCCAGCATCTAGTACAGTGCTCTCCAAGTGGAGTCAGAGTGGTCCCTTCCAGAACCACCTGCCTCAGAATCACCCAATTGACTTGGGACAGATTGCTGGGCCCACCCTAGATACACAGAATGAGAATCACTGGAACTGGGCCCAGGATACTGCAGTGCCAGCAGGCTCCTCAGGTGATTGCACTCATGCTAAAACTGCTAGTCTTCTGTTAATACTTAAAATAGCCATGTCCATTTCACCAGTGAAGAAACTGAAACTCAGAGAGGCCAGGGGCCTAGGGACACTGCTCGAGAGCGCCAAGGCGAAACAAGATATCCAAGAGTTTTATTGGACTAAACCTTGTCATTCTGAAAACCGAGATTACTTACATGTTTTAGAAGGTGAGGATGAGACCCTTCTGTCTGGAGACACTGAAAGAGCCACAGTTCATATTCAGTGTATACTGTCTGTCTCCCCCAAGGAGAATGTAGCCTCAGAAAGGCAGAGTCCTGGCCTGTTTTGCTCACTGAGATATCCTAGTACCTAACACAGTGATTGCCACTCAGCCGATGCTCAATAAATATTTGCTACGGGAAGGCACTCTTCAACTGGTAGGGTGTGCTGATCAGTTTCCACCCCTCTTTCGAGAGGGGGTCCTACTCATCTATGTTAAAGGGGAGTCAGATGGTTTTATTCGCCTAGGATCTGGGTACACAAGGAGCAAGTGACCTGGGAATCAATGTTTAAAATTCTGAAATGCAGTGGTACGATAATGGCTCACCACAGCCTCGACCTCTTGGGCTCAAGCAATCCTCCTGCCTCAGCCTCCTGTGTAGCTAAGAATACAGGTGCACACTACCTAACCCAGCTAATTTAATTAATTAATTAAGATGGGTCTTGTTCTATTACCCAGGCTGGAGTGTAGTGGCGTAATCATGGATCACTGCAGCCTCGACCTCCTGGCCTCAAGTGATCCTCCCACATCAGCCTCTCAAGTAACTTGGAGTACAGGCACCTGCTACCATGTCGGGCTAATTTTTTAAAATTTTTTTGTAGAGGTGGGGGTCTTGCTGTATTCCCCAGGCTGATCTCAAACTTCTGGTCACAAGCAATCCTCCTATCTCAACCTCGAAGTACTGAGATTAGAGATGTGAGCCACCATACTTGGCCTAACATGTATTTTTTTTTAAATGGCTCTACACATACATGCTTTTTAAAAAAATGCAAAAATATGGTTAAAAAAAACCTCCATTCTCTTCGCCCAAGTTTCCCAGATCCTACAGAGATCAGGCATTGTCATCATTTTCTTGCATATCCTCCTAAAGAAAGTCTATCTCATGCTTCTTAGATTTTTACATCCTTCTTTTGACCTACTTTTTTTTGCTGTTGGTTTTTTTTGTTTTGTTTTGTTTTGTTTTGTTTTTTGAGACCATGTCTCTCTCTGTTACCCAAGCTGAAGTGCAGTGGTGCAGTCGTGGCTCACTGCAGCCTTGCTTTCCTGGGCTCAAGTGATTCTCCCACCTTGGCCTCCCAAGTAGCTCGTATAGGTACATAGCACCATGCCACCTAATCTTTCTTCCTCCTTTCCTTGCTTCCTTCCACTCTTTCTCTCTTCTTTCTTTCTTTCTTACTTTGTAGAGACAGGGTTTTGCCATGTTCCGCATGCTGGTCTTGAACTCCTGGGCTTAAGTCATCTTCCCACTTTTGCTTCCCAAAGTGCTCAGATTACAGGTGTGAGCCACCATGCCCAGCCTTACACAAACTCTTTTGAACATTGAGTTTCATACTAAACAAAATACTCTGGAGCTCATTCTTCTTTTAAGGTTGCATGGAATTCTATCAGATAGAATGTGTCATGAAATTTTAGTGCTCAACCCTAAATGACTCAAGCCCTTATCCTATCTGATTTTCAAAAAGTCCAATCTTTTGCCAGATTCCTCTCCAATTTGAGGGGAAGAGCATGATTATGGAGTCTCTCCACTCCTGCTGTCCTATATGTCCTGAATGCGGACATGGGTACATGCATGCATGCACACACACACACGCACACCCCTTTTCAGAACAAGTCAAAAATACAAGTGTACTGCAGGACAGTTTTCAAGGTCTTGGACTGGGCCCAGTTCTTCCCACTTTCTGGCTTGTAGCTCTCAACAATAACTAGAATGTGCTAGGAATCCAATATCCTGGGATCTGTTCTAGTCCCTCCACTACCCCACACCCCCAAAACAAGACGTCCTTCAATGCTTTAGCCCAGTGATTCTTGTTTCCCTTGGGTATAAAACCCAGGGTGAGCTGCCTTCCTGGAGTCCTCAGTTCTGGTGCAGGTGGGCATGTGCAGATGAGGCTCTGTGTGCCCCAGGCAGCTTTCCTAAGCCTTGGGGGACTGGCTCACGTGAATTTCAGGCCTCTGTTGTCTGCTGCCTAGCTGTAAGTAATAAGCTGGATTCTTGTAACTTATTGCATGCACAGGTGTTCTGTCTCCCCAAACTCAGACAAAGCACAGTGAACCTGCTTTTCACACAGGACAGTCTAAAACCTTACGGAGACAGAGAACATTTCATGCCACTAATACACCAAATCACATTATTTTATCTTTCATTTAAAAACATCTAAATTCTGTCTCCATTTTTCCAGAAAGAATAAGTAGAGACCACCTTTACATTAGCCCAGACAAAAGGTCACTTGTGGTTTTGCCAGAACAGAGAAGCTGTGAACCCCCAGGTGACACCAAGCCTGCAAATGCTGAAAATTATTTGTAGCTTTAAATTGACACTTTGATACTAAAATTCTACGGTTTAGTGTTTATTCCCTGAGATCTCCTAACTTCAAAGTAAAATTGTGAACCTTAAGGGCTTATCTTTGGGTGTGCATTATGGCAAGCGGGTACTGTGAGAAAGTTGAAGGGAAGGAAAACCCCATAAGCCCCTGGGTTGTGTCCGAAGTTTCCCAAATGAGAGAACACTGGCTGGAGGTGGTTATCTGAGAATTTCCCTGGGCCTCTCTCTTCAAGACAGGTTGGTAAAAAGAAGACACTAGATACACTTTTCAAAAGTTATCAGTAATATATAGATGTACATGTTAACATATCTTTTCCCATTTTTTTGTTTAACTGCTCATTATATGCTAGATACTATGCTGGGCGAATTGTACCACAATCCCACAAGATAGATACTATCATTAACCCCATTTTCCGAGTGCAGAAACAGGCAGTGCAAGATTGAATAACTTGCCCAAAGCTACTCAAAGTGGCAGAGCATGGATTTGAATTTGAAAAACTACCACCAGCAACAGGTCCTTATCCATTCCACTGAATTTAGGCTACCTACTCTCACCCTCACATACTCCTCAAAGTGGGCATTATTAGCCTCAACTTATATTAGTCCTAAGCAACCTGAAGCTTGGAGGGATCTGGTGGCAGAGCTGGGTTTCAATGGCAGCTCTCTGGAATCGTGGAGCAGACCTTTTCTTAGTCCTAATTACATAGCAATTACCATGTTCCTGCAACAGGGAAAAAAGTTCACGCCTTCAGAACACCCTCCTCCTAGGTCTCCTGGATTCAGGGCTGGTGGAATAAGGGACACTAGAGAGTCTGCCTCACCCCAGAATGTCACCTCCACTAGAGTAGTCTCCAAAGGAAAGTGTCTTTTAGAAGGAAGATAGAGTAAGAAGACACAGCCAGCCCCTGAAGTGGGCCAACAGATGGACTGTGTTACTTCCACCTGCTGGTATTGATGATGGGGAGGAGGATTGTCCATATACCAACCAAAATGATGGAAAACGCTGCTTTGAAGCATGGTTCTCTATTAGTAAATACATGTTTCTATCCACAGCTCTTTAGATTGGGAGACCAAAGGATTCTTTCTTTGCTCTTATCCCCAAGTCAGACAACTCCATTTTAGACTCGTGTTCTTTGGGTATTAGTATTGACGGTCCATGGGCTCCAAGTTCAAATATCCTGAGAGGGGTCACTTGTCTGAGACCACCGGCTGGCACAGACAACGACCTCAAGGCCCACAAAGGTGAAGGACCTTGGCAAGTGAGGACAGATGTCACCAAACACAGTGCAAACATTTATGTCTAGATCATGTCAAAAGCAATGGGTGGAGTCACCACAGTCTCCAAGGAGCAGAATGAGTGCAGAGGTTGAGGAGCTGCCTGAGAAGGGGAAACAGCCTGAGAGGAGAGTAAAGATTCTCTCCCCACTTCATAATTTTTCCTGGGCTCACTCTGTCTCTTCCCTACCCCTGCTCCAAGTGTGAATCTCAAACCCACATCTAGCTTTTCTCTTGACATCACCACTTAGTTGTAGGAAGGTGAAGAGAGCACAGGCTTATACTGTCACCATATTACACCGTTTTGACTCTAAGGAATGATTTTCTAATACTTAAACAGCTAACAAGTAGAGTGTAGTAGAGTGTGTACAAAGAAAATGAGCTTTAAAGACTGTGGTATGATGATATAGCAAGAAATATGTATTTGGTCTCTAACCCTGAGTTTCTGATGCAGGGCTCCTAAAACCCTTGTAGATGGGGTGCTAATCTTTTGTTCAAATATCTTGTCTTTGACCCTGGTTCTTGACACAGAACTCCTAAATCCTTTGATATTTCCTGGGTGAGAGGAGCATTTTTTATTCTACTAAGGTGACTTTTTTGTGGACTCCTGGATAGCCTCTGGATGGGGGCTTGTTGCCAGAGGAATCAATCATGTGATTTGAGGGTTGCACTTTCATCCCCACCCACCTCATAACCTGCAGGGAGGGATAGGGGTCTAAAGGCTGAGGGGTCTAAAGGCCATCAGAATGGCCAATGATTTAGTCAATCATGCCAACATAATAAGCCTCTATAAAAACCTAAAAGGACCAGGTGTCGTGGCGCATGCCTGTAATTCCAGTACTTTGGGAGGCCAAGGCGGGTGGATCACGAGGTCAAGAGATTGAGACAGGAGAATTGCTTGATCTTGGGTGGCGGAAGTTGCAGTGAGCTGAGATCGCTCCATGGCACTCCAGACTGGTGACAGAGCGAGACTCCATCAAAAACAAACCAACCAACCAAAAACCTAAAAGGACTGTGTTTGGAGAGCTGAACCCATGGAGCTTCCTAAAGGGTGGTGTACCTGGTGAGGTCATTGAAGCTCCACACCCTTTCCCTCATGCTTTGCCCTATGCATCTCTTCCACCTGGCTAGACGTTTGTAGCCTTTGTAATATCCTTTATAATAAATCAGTAAACTAAGCGTTTTCCTGAGTTCTGTGAGCCACTCCATCAAATTAATCAAACCTGAGGGTTTTGTGGGAACCCTGATTTACAGCTGGTTGGTCAGAAGCACAGGTCACAACCTGGAACTTGTGGTCGGGATCTGAAGCATTGGTGGTGGGGACAGGGAAGGGGAGGTAGTCTTGTGCCTTAACTTGTGGAATTTGATGCTATCATCCAGAAGATAGCATCAGGATTGAATTAGAGGACACCTACTTGGTGTCTGTCAGAAACTTGCTTGGTGTGTGGGGTAACAACTCCCACACCTTTGGGTGTAGAAGTGTGAGTGCTGTGTGAGACTGGGAAAAGCACCTTGGTTTGTTTCTTTTCCATCCTTTGTAGGACAAACAGACCTGGTTTTAAACCCCAGCTCTATCTCATCCTGTAGGAAGGTGAAGTGACTTTGGATAGATGGCAACCTCTCCGAGCCCACTTTCTTCATCTATTAATGGGGTTATTGTGAATGATCTGACACACAGCAATACTCTCTTCCTCTCTTCTTAATCCTTCTCCAAAAGGAAAGAGCCTCACTTACTCCCTAGGTGTTACTCTTCCCAACCCCAAGCCCAAAGAGTAAAATAAATGATGGTAGGCTGCTCTCCAGTCCCTATCTAAAAGACCTGTGGGTCCTCAGCCTGACCCCAGGCAGCCAATGTTGAGGAGCTGGCCCAGGAGGCTGGTTGGATTGTGAAGTCAGTCCCCATTCCTTCCCCTCAATGTCCTACTAGCTCAGTGGCTGTTATAAAAAGACTCAAGGGCTGGGCACAGTGGCTCACGCCTGTAATCCCAGCACTTTGGGAGGCTGAGGTGAGTGGATCACCTGAGATCAGGAGTTCGAGATCACTCTGACCAACATGGAGAAACTCCATCTCTACTGAAAACAAAACAAAACAAAAAAAAAAAACACACACACAAAAAAAAGTAGCTGGGCATGGTGGCGCATGCCTGTAATCCCAGCTACTTGAACCCGGGAGGCAGAGGTTGTGGTGAGCGGAGATCACGCCATTGCACTCCAACCTGTGCAGCAAGAGCAAAAACTCGTCTCAAAATAAATAAATAAAAGAATAAAAAGATGCAAGTTTATTTGCTCCAGAGAGGTATAGAAAGAAGAACGAGGTGGTTGGAGAATGTTAAAGCAGGGTGAAAGAGGCCAAGGCTAATTTTATAGATCTTAAAACAAAACAAAACAAAACAAAAACAACTACTGCCAATACTTCTAGACAACATCTAGAAATCTTGGCTAACAAAGAAAGCAAATGAAGCACCATCTCACAGCAGGTCCAAAAAGTATCATTTGAAATGTCACATATGACCTTTTCTGTTGTTCAATACACATATGTTAACTTGATAAGCATGGCAAATTCACACAATGTGTCAGACCATCTTTATTGATTTACCCCAACATTATGCATAAAGTTTATCACTTTCCCCTGTTTGTTCTCATCCTCCCTTCTCTCTGTCCCTCTCTTTCTCTGACACACACACACACACACACACACACACACACACAGACACACACACACACAAGGAAGTAAGGTCAGCAACTGAGTGTGAAGTTTGGGGTGGAGGTTTTGAAGTTTGAGAAAAAGAAGTCTGAATGTTGAACCTCTTTTTGAAATGTGCCTGTGATCAAGACTGATATTTGGTGAAGCAAATCTAATAGGATCTCTAAAGAGCCTTTTCCTGTTGTCTACGATTGTAGCTAAAGCCCTGCACTAGAAAACAACAAACGCTAAGATACTCCCTGCATCGCCTACCCTCCACCCCCTGCAACACACACACCCCTCCTCCACTGTGTTCTAAAGAGACTGGAAAGACTTGGAAAAACATTCCTGTGGGATGAACTGGGAGGTGGCAGGACTGCTATCCTCAGACCTCATTTCCCCACCGCTCCCAGCTGAAAGCCAGGGATTTCACAAAGGAAACATCATGTTCTGTGGTTTTCTCAAAAGGAGAAGGAAAAGACTCTGTTCCTTCCCCCACCCCCGAGAACAAGCCAAATGAGAGCAAGCCTACTGGCCGGACTGAGGGTGACCAAATGAATGTGACGATGGCATCTCGTTTCCCAGGTGGATGTCTTCTGGGCAGCATGTGCCTAGGATTGACTCAGAAGACACACAGCACCATACGACAGGATTGGCGTGGTGACGAGGCCAGGACAGACAGTGAGGAGAAGGTGGCCAAGCGCCTGAACGATCAAAGCAGGTTTCACCCAGGAAGCTCTATCATCTGAGTTGGGTCTTGAAGGACAAGTAAGAATTTATCAGGTAGACAAGGAGAGGGAAGACCATCAAGAGATGAAGAAAGGGTGATGTATTCATTGGAACATAATTAGACCATGATTAGTTTAGCATGGTCGGTTTGTAATTCATAAAGACAACTCTGGAGGGTGATGAGGGAAGCACCAGATAGGAGGCTATTTCATAACACTCAGTAGATACTGATTAATGCCTATTGCCTGCCCAAGCACTGTGCTAGCTTCTGTCTAGAAAAAATACAAACAAGCAAATAGACCGTAATAAAATTGGTAACGTGTTAACTGCCATGATGAGGAGAGTCTGGAGAAGCAGCTCAGAGCAGCATCTCCCTAGACTTGAGCAGCTTGGATGGCAGAAATCCAGCTGAAAAATCCTCAGTGCAAGAAAGTAATAGAGGTGATAGATTTAGAGTGTATTTACGAGGTAGACCAGTCTGGCAGATATTGTTAGGACTCCACATATATCCCTCACTGTTCCCATGCCCCTTACAGCTTGCCCCTGTAAGTATCTCTTGAGTTTTTACCAAAGACATTCAGGTTTGGCTTGTACAAAGGGCAAGCCAAGAAGTACCAGGTAGTTAGCATCCCTGGCAGTGGTCCTCAACCAGTGGCAGATGGAGGTCAGTGAATAAATACCGCAGGTTTGCTCGCCCTTCAAATGGGGCAACTCTGAGGACTGCTTTAGGCCTAGGACTCAGATGGCAGAGTGGCAACTGCCCACAGTGCAAACCTGCTCATTAACAGACCTTGTACTAGCTCCCTTCCCTTCCTAGTCTCACTTCCCCATTCTCCTACCAGTATTTCCTGGAATCATCTCCCAAATAAACTGCTTACATTCAGATGTTTGTCTCAGAGTCTGCTTTGTGTGAACCTAATTTGAGACAAACAGAAAAAACTTTTAGAATAAGTAGATGATGAAAATGAAGACTCAAATAAGAGGTTATGAGATTTTTTACTTGGGAGACGTTGACCCCATCAACTGAGCTAGACTCTTTGGTGTAAGAAGAGGGATAGATTCTAGAACGGGATGAGCCTGAAAACACTGAGCTTAAGGTGCCCAAGGGACTTGTTATCTCAAAATTCCCGGAGTACAAGGTTAAGACTCTTGACTTTGGAAAAAGTGAAAAGAAATAGCAGAAAAAGAAATACACAAAAGAAGAATCCATCAGAAACAAACATCACATCTCCCTAAAGGGAAGTTACAGCGTCTTCCTTTGATCGAAGAGAATATAAAGCCCTAGCTGTCTCTTCCAGCCGGTTTCTGTATTCTAGTTCCTCATAGTTGGAGGGACTCACTCCTTTAAAACCATTCAGAACTCCCCACCAGCAGCCAGCAATGGCAGCTGTAGAATCACTGTCTCCACCATGGAAAAAGGCTCGGTGGGCAAGCTCCTTCCAGGAGTCTCCTGCAGCAAGGAGAGCATCATAGGCAATCATGGGGGCATCATGCCCACTGCTGCCGCCCCAGCCAGAGTAGCTCACAGAGGTGTAGAACCGATCCCTCTCCTTCACACCGAAGGGCTCCGGAAAGGTAGGGGCTGATTCTCCATCCAAAATCCCTCGAAGTTTTAGGTACTTTTCCCAGCTGGTTTCGAAGTAGGACCTGTAGAAAGGAAAAAAAACCTAGAGTCAATTGAAAAAATAAAGTGAAAAGTCATACGAAAAGCACCAGATGGATGTGTGAACAGAGAAAATTCCAACATAATTTTGGCTTCTTGTACTAGTATCATAAACTCTTTAAACATCAAAATTATCTCTATATAAGTACCATTCATTCAATACATTTTTCAAAAGGTTCTACATAAACAAGGCATTGATCCTGTTGCTAAATAAAGAAGATATATATCAAGTTAAAGGATAAGAAATAAAGGTTTATTTTTTCTGTGTAGTTGAGAGTAATGTCATGTGTCACCTTTCAAGGAGGAACTTCAGGACATCACGACTGTGGGTGACTTCAGCAGAAAGCCTCTTTTTATTCTAAGAAAGAGAATGTGAGGTGAACTCACAAGAAGGGGAAGATGTGGCCTTACTACTTATTAGTTAGCTAGTGAAAAAACCTATCTCTGGCATTTTAACCAGAATACACAAAATATTATTTGTGTACCAAGACTACACTGAAAAAGCAAATTCCAGGAAAGTAGAAAATAAGCATGAAAATTCAAGGCAGCATAGAAAAGCCACAAAAACTACAGGATCCCTGTGTAAGAGGAAGCACCACAGCTGCCCTGTTCATTGAAGTGTCCACTTGGCTACTTTGGGCCATCATTACTGGACGGGAACTTGAAATCCTTCGCAGGCGGTTAGAAAGGGGGCTGGGTGGTGAGAACAATGAGGGTTGCTGTGATCTCTAAATCTAAGACATATATGTGCAGGTGGATGTGCACACACAGATTGAAGCATGTTCGAGCAGGGCATGCACCTACAGACTCACCAGTGTTGACAATTTTCCTCTACAAAGTAGCCTGATTGGACAATGTACTTTTTAGCTTCTGGTAGTAGCTCCATCAGTCCTTTTCCCCACTGCAAGGGTGGTCTGCCATTCACAGCGTAGGCTGTAAAAAGAGCAGATGCAAGGGCCCCCAGGTAGCCTGTTGGGTGGTGGTGGGTCATCCGACCGCTCTCAATGCTCACTTGGATCAGTGTGTCCAGCTGGCTGGGGTGTGGGAACCTGAGACCAATGCACATGGCCCGCATGGCAGCCCCACAGCCGCCCTCATGGCTGTTGAAGGGAATCCTCCAGCCATTGGGCTTGTCGGGCTTCAGCTGCAGGGCGTTGTGCACCGAGGCATTACCTGGGGAAAAGTCATAAAAGGGGTGGGGGTTAGCATAACCAAAGCAAAGGCCCCAGCAGGAATAAAGAACTAAACTCTGTCTCCATGTATTTTTTTTATGGAAAGAGAAAGCCAAAAAATATGATGAATGCCCCAAAACTCCAAATCCCACCCAACAATGTGTCTTTCTTTATATATAACCCTTGGCATGATAATGCTAATAAAAGAAGCAGACTTATGCAGGGACCCTGGGAATTTTTACCAGTTACTACTGAGACATCACAACAAATTTAAGAAGTAAGCATATCATTCTCTTTTTTAAGTAAATAAGACTTTTAAGCTCAGAGCTTAAGAAACTTCCTCAAAATCACATAATTAGTTCGTGGCTGGGTAAAATCCATCAGACTCCAAAGCCCAGTCCCTTACAGAGTCCAGTAAGAACCTCACAATTGGAGTTCCTGAATATCAAAAAGGCGGGAAAAGGCCAAAAATTCTAGAGTGAAGCCCTGGGCTCAGATGAGGAGCAGTGAATTCAGGAGAACAATGTGCCATTGATGAGTCACTGAACTTCTGGGCCACGGCTGTCCCCTCGTGACAGTGATGTAAGCAGGCTTATGTCACTGACCTGCCCTACTGGGGGCCTGTGAATGCGCATGCGAGCCAAGTGATGGCAGCAACATTCAATGAAGTGTGGCTCTGCTGTTCCTTTACTGGTCAGTGTATTCACAATACACTGTGGTTCATGTATACCACAGGTGGACAAAAAAACCTTTCTACTTGCTAAACTGAAGAGCTATCAGATGCCGAGAAAGAATAACCAGAGATTGGCATCCAAAGCCAATCCTTGGGGTGACGGGGCCCCTAGGTATGGTGGTGGGAAGCTTTCATCAGGAGGTGTTACGTGCTGAATTGTGTCCCCACAATTCAAATGTTGTAGCTCTAAGTATCTCGATTTGGAGATAGGGCCTTTAAAGAGGTGATAAAGCTAAAATGTGGTCTTTAGGGAAGGCCCTCATCCAATCTGCCTGGTGTCCTTATATGAAGAGGAATGTGGACACACAGAAACACCAGGAATGCATGCACACAGAGGAAAGACCATGTGAGGGCGCAGCAAGGAGGTGGCCATCTGTAAGCCAAGGAGAGGCCTCAGAAGAAAGCAAATCTGTCAATACCTTGACTTGGACTTCCAGCTTCCAGAGCTGTGAGAACTAAATTTCCATTGTTTTAGACACTCAGGCGATGGCAGTTTGTTATGGTGGCCCTGGCAGCCTTGAATAGGAGAGGTGGGTCAGCTGGGCCAAGGAAAATCACCCACTGACCCAAGTGGCTGTAACAAGTTGCCAAAGTGGGCAAGAACCACTTGTGGGCAAATCTGTGCCCAGAAGTCTCTACAAAACCCTTCACATTTTTTTTTTCCTTGAGATGGAGTCTCACTCTGTCACCCAGGTTGGAATGCAATGGCATGATATGGGCTCACTGCAACTTCAGCCTCTGGTGTTCAAGCGATTCTCCTGCCTCAGCCTCCTGAGTAGCTGGGATCACAGGCATGCACCATCACACCCAGCTAATGTTTGTGTTTTTAGTAGAGATGGGGCTTCACCATGTTGGTCAGGCTAGTCTTGAACTCCTGATCTCAGGTGATCTGCCCACCTCAGCCTCCCAAAGAGCTAGGATTACAGGCAAGAGCCACCGTGCCCAGCTGCATTTTCTTTACAAAGAAAAAATGTACATTTTTCTTTTTACTTATTCATCATAGCAAACTTAGAAATACAAATAAGTAAAAATTAAAAAAACTATAAATACTCTTATCACCCAGATATAATTAGTAACATCTTTGTATATGTTCTTTAAGACCTTTCCCAACACAGAGATATATATCTATTTTTTCATAAACTCCTGGGCTCAAGAGATTCTCTCCTCTTGGCCTCCCAAATTGCTAGAATGAGCCACCACTGTGGCTGTTGTTTCTATTTTTATCGAATTGACAGACACTGTTGTATCTTTGTTATTGAAATCTCCATCAACATTCTTAATGATTTCCTTGGGCCTGTTTTATTCTTTGCCCACTTCACACCTCCCACCAGTTGTGCTGACCTGGTGCCCGGCCATCCATGTCTTCCATGCAGTCTTGGTAATGCTTAGCAAGGAGGTAATACAGTCGAGTCAAATTAGGGGCTTTCCCAGCTTCCACAAGAGCTTCTGCCGTGGCCAAGTGCATCACTGTGTCATCACTGACTCTCCACCTTCCCACATCTAGGGCATCCAAGCCGCCCAGCTGGGCCAACTGCTGGTGTATCTTCTCCCCATCCCGGAGGAACTCCCACTTCCCATTGCAGAACCCCAAGGCATCTCCAGCTGCACTCAACACCATAGCAGCCACATACTTCTCCATCAGTCCGTCACACATGCTGGGCTCTGGAGAGGGTGTGCTTGCTGGGAAATTAAGACAAAGGAAATAGGAGGAGGAGGAAGAAAAAACAGAAAAAACAATGGCTCCATCTATGCTTTATTGAGCACTCCCTACTTGCAAGGCATTGTATCAATGGCATCTCACGTAATCCTCATCACTGCTATATAAGGAATGTAAAGCCCATTTTACATATGAGCAAATGGAGGATCATGGAGATAATGCAGTTTTAGAAATGTTCAGTAACTTGTCTCAGGTCACAGAGCTAATAAGTGGCAGGGCTGGGTTCCCAACATAGGTCCATCTGACTCCAAAGTCTATCACTGTAACTACAACTGTATCTCTTGCCTCTTGGTGAGTGGCAAGCCCACTAAATTCTGCAAGACAAACCCAGCTCATCATTTTCTCTTTTTAGCTGGGATTTGACCTTAGAAGTGCAAGGCTCTATGATTCCTATTGGTATCACAATGCGTAGTTCACAAAGCGCCTGCATATTCATTGTCTCCCTAGTATTACAGTAGCATAGGGGGATTACAGTATGCATTTCACAGATAAGAAAATGAAGGCTCAGATAAGCTAAATTCACACAACAAGAGGAGTGGAGGTACTGGAACCCAAATCTTCCAATTCCAGCCAGGCCAGGATGCTTGGTATCACACCACTGAGCCTCAGCCCAGATCTTCTTACCTTGTGCAACCTCTAGGTACCTCAGCCTCCATATTTGTAAAATGGCACTGATTTTTAAAACCTGGATTTGTTGTTACAAATAAATAAATTAAATTTCATAAAGTTGGGTGGGCACAGTGACTCATGCCTGTAATCTCAGCACTTTGGGAGGCTGAGGTGGATGGATCACCTGAGGTCAGGCGTCCAAGATCAGCCTGGCCAACATGGTGAAACCCCATCTCTACTAAAAATACAAAAATTAGCCAGATGTGGTGGTGCACGCCTGTAGTCCCAGCTATTCAGGAGGCTGAGACAGGAGAATTGCTTGAAACCAGAAGGCGAAGGTTGCAGTGAGCTGAGATCACGCCACTGCACTCCAGCCTGGGCAGCTTCTAGAGAATCAGAATCTAGAGTGAAATCCCTGGTAAAGAGCTGGCTTTCCTGTTGGTGCATTTTCTAAGAGCCCCCCTCTTTCAGCCAAATCCCCAGGATTCCCTATTTCCTGTGGCTTTCAGGTCAAAGCCCTCCATCCCTTCCAGGCCAATATTTTTATATGGAGTTGGCAGACTAGCTCATTCTCCCCTCAGGGGAAACTCTTCCCTCCGCTTCACTTACCTAAACCCTATTTACTCAGGGTCTAGTTCAAGTCATGGGGCTTCCAGAAGTCCTTCTGCAGCTGCACTGCTGTTGGCCATGGAATGCAAGCCGGGAAGCCCCTGGAGAAGCAGTAAACGGCAAAGACCGATGTGTTCCAGTACCCGGTTACTTGTAATGCTGTTTCTGAGCTCACAAAGGATATTTGTGTTATTAACATAGTTTATCATTTACAGTGAAGCCTAGGCACTGAGGGTCTGGGCTGCTAGACCTGACTCTGCTGAGACAGAGCTGTGGGAGAACAGACACCCGGGACTGCGGTTCGCCCACTGAAAAGTGGGGAAGGGCAGGCTCCTGAAGTCCTGTCCTGCGCTGTGATACTAGCTCTGCTCCTTGGCCTCTGAGGACGAATTTTAACCCTCCACACCTTCCCTCTCAACGTCCTCATTGTCCTTTCTGTAATTCCTTCTGGCTCCACCCTCCTGTGTGTTTCTGCTGAGTTACAAACGAGGCTGGGGGAAGAAGACCAGTATCTTTTTCGGTTGTAAATTCACTTTAACGTTTGCTTTCGGAACGCTAATTTCTTAACTCCCCTGAACTTTCACGGGTCACATTCTCGTACCCGAACTATACATTCAGAATTAAGCTCTGATCAGCCGCTTCCGGGCCGTGCCCGGCGCTGGGGAGAAACGGGGCTGTTGACACGCCCCCACGATTTGCAAAATTGGGAATCCTCACGGCTCCGCCACACTCGGAGCGCGCCCGAGGCCGGGGAGGGGAGCGGGGGCGCGGAGGGAGGCGCGGAGGCGAGCGCGGAGGGGGCGCGCGTGCCTGATCGCAGCGGGGCGGGGAGCGCGCGGGCGAGGGCCGGGGGCGCGCGTACCTGCTCGTAGCCGGGAGAGGAACGCGCGTACGAAGGGCGCGGCGTGGGCTCCCGGGGCGTCGGAAGAGGCCTGGCTGCTGCTCGTCTGGGGCGCGGGCAGGGGTGGTGCCGGGTCGCCGGTTCCAGGACTGTACCCAGGTCCTTGGGGAGGCGGGCGAGCGCCCACGTACCTGACCTTTGCCGCCGGGTTTAAGCAAATCGGAACCCCCAGGCGGCTTCCGGGCACCGCCCCGCCCTTCTGCACCGTAGCGGGAGCGGATGAGACTTCCCACCCCCGCTCAAAGTCTCTAAAGGTCCCGGAATGTAGCGGCACCGGAAAGCCGGCTGTCCCCCGGCTGTGGTCGGTGACTCCCGTGTGGCCTCGCCCGTGCTCAGGTCTGGCTTTGCAGGGCTGTGGTGGACTGGGGTGTGCCCAGAGGCTTGGAAGAGGATACTGAGTGCGCAGCCCTTGCCAGGGTTCAGGGCCCTCACACATAAAGTGGGATAATACTATCTGCCTCTTAGAATGGTTAAGGATTCAGTTAATTTTAACTCGTCATTTATTTGGCAGCAGCATAGAAGTCTTTTTTCCTGGTAGTAAATAAAAGCAAAGAAAAACGAAGAGGATTTTTGTCTGAATACATTAATCATGTCACTTTTGAAGCAAATCAGAATCACCATATGCAGGTATTCTGTATAATTCTCCAGAATTTTAAATTTGCTATGTCTGTTGCCTTGCTGTAATGACTAACCTTGATCTGAGAGCTTTTTAAAAAATTGATCTATAATTCGTATGTAATGAAGTGTCCTTACACCATGATCAAGATATGGAATATTTCCATTATTTCAAAACGTTCTCTGTGGCCTTCCAAGTGAATCTCAATCTCCATCTCCAACTCTAGCCTAAGTGACTTTTGAGTGTTTACAAAAATCAAGTTCACCAGTAAGGGAGGCAGAGATCACCTCCCACCCCGCACTCCCCCAACACACACACTCTTCAGCTCTTAGTGGGCTAATCAGCTGGATCTAGAAGCCAAATTGACACTAGGTAGATTAACAAGAGAAAAGTATACACATGTTATTAGTTTTACATGTACATGGGGATGTTAAGAGAGTGCAGTCCAAAGAAAATGGCCAAAGCAAGATGCTTGTATACTTTTTAGAAAAAGTGATAAATTTAAGAAGAAATGACAGGACAAAGAAAATCTGGCTAGGGTGTTAAAAATTTCTAGGGAAACACATAGGAGATATATGGGGGGTGGGGTATAAAACAGGTGGAAGATAAGGCTTACTTTGCAAGAATGTTTATTTCATTCCAATGCCACCTCCAGTTCCAAATCTCTGGTGATAAAGGCTATTTTCTCGCCCTGGCATGGAGAGCGTACCTCTCCTAGAGGAATCTTTATTGCTAGCTGCATGCAGGAAGAGACAGTTCAGCTCCAGTTAGGGAACCAGGCTCATTTGCCTTCACACAATATACCAATCACTAGGCCCACGAGTTTTGCACTAGAGAAAGGGTGTATTTACAAGGCAGCCCAGCCAGGAGACTGGAGAACAGTCCTCAAACCTGCCTTTCCAAAAATGGAATTTTGGAACCTGAATCATGAACTGTGAATGGTTTCTATTTTGTCTATGTTTTCTAACATTTCATTATACACATAATATACAAAAATTCTTATTGTGAAAATTAGGTTTCCCTTTACCTCTCTTCCTATTCCCTGACAACTCTCCCATCCCGCTCCTCAGAGATAACTGTAATCATTAACAATTGATGTATATCCTCCTAGCCGTTTTACACACATACATGTGCGTTTGTGCATGTACACACACAGAGCTTTTTTCACGAACATAAATAAGGCTATATATATATTCATCTTTTTAAATCTTTTTAATTTTTGTTTGCTTGCTTGCTTGTTTTGAGATGGAGTCTTGCTCTCCGCCCACTCTGGAGTGCAGTGGTGCAATCTCGGCCTCCAGGGTTCAAGCAATTATCCTGCCCCAGCTTCCTAAGTAGCTGGGACTACAGGCCAGCGCCACCAAGCCTGGCTAATTTTTGTGTTTTTAGCAGAGACAGGGTTTTGCTTTCTTGGCCAGGCTGGTCTTGAACTTCTGACCTCAGGTGATCCACTCACCTTGTCCTCACAATATGCTGAGATTACAAGCATGAGCCACCGCACCCAGCCTAAAATTTTATTTTATTTTTTCAGTTAAGTGTCTCTAAGCTCTTCCCATGTGAGCATGTCTATGTCTACCTCATGGTTTTAAGCAGCTCCATAGTTTTTCCATGAATAGTTATGTCACAATTTAGGGGAAGGAAACGAATTCTCCTCTGTAGATGGATATTGAGGATATTTTCAATTTTCTGCCACTGGGAACACTTTTATGCAGAACATCCAGAAACTTTTATATTTGTAAATGTGTGTGGGTATTTCTTTTAGGAGAAATTCCTAATAGCTTTCCCAACATTTTGACAATTACACATTACTTTTATCATTAAAAAAAGTTACTGTGCTTATCTTCAAACTCATCAAGTTGTATACACTAAATATGTACAGCTTTTTGTATGTCAGTCATATCTCAATAAAGTGATTTAAGAAAACATATAAACACCATTTTTTGTAATTTAAAAAATATGTTTAGAAGCCTAAAAATGAGATGACTTGGGTGCTCTAGAAGAGCAGAGGCTGCTAGGGCCTAGCATATACTTACACAGCAGGTTTTAACGTATAAAGATCATTCTTGTAAGTCACAAATCTGTTAAGAACAGCACCATTGTTCCTACCTTATAGATGAAGTGTCTGAAGTATCTTAGAGATCAGATCCGAGTCCTACAAGTTTGTTTCTCAGCAAGAGCCTCAACATAGCAATTGATTGTATATCAGTGAGTAATGAAGATGC